AGAAAAGCATGGCAGCCCATTCCAAACCAGAGAGAATAGTTTGTGCAAATAGTGGGTCTTTGTGTGTTTGAACTCCCACCATGTAAGGGCAAACTGAATATGCATGCTAATGACCTAAAATTACCAAATTAAAAAAAGAAGAAAACTGCTAAAAGATGCCAGAGTGAACAGCAGGGAAAGCCACACAAAGACCCACTATCCTTGAACTTGTTACAAATAAATTTTAACGATAAATTAGAAACACAAAGAAATAATCACAAGTGGCTCTAACATTCGAACGAAGTAAATGAATTGTGTAGGAGATATTTGATCAGGGCTGCCTGCCCTGCCTCCACGCTAGAGTCAAACTTGGATAGTGGGTCTCTGGGGTGCTTTCACAACTGGAAGACAACATTGGGTCCTAAAAAAAGAAAAATGAGGAATAAAATGAACATAACGAAATTAGGTGGTGAGAAAAAATTTGACTAATAATAACATGCAACATCAACTAAATAAACTTGACCTATTAAAATTATCAACCTTAAAAATGTTTAGTTATATAATAAAATGAAAAGAATATTGATAAAGGCTAAAGAATCATAAACAGTCATCTCGAATTTAACCTGCTCTCAGTGCCTCTTTTTTTTTTTTTTTGGTCCGGTCGTGGGGCCTGAACTCTGGGCCTGGACACTGTCCCTCAGCTCTTCAGCTCAAGGCTAGCGCTCTACCACTTGAGCCACAGAGCCACTTCTGGCTTTTTTTTATGCTTATGTGGTGCTGAGGAATCGAACCCAGGGCCTCATGCATGCAAGGCAAGCGCTCTACCACTGAGCCACCTTCCCAGCCCTCAGTGCCTCATATTGACTATAGCAAACGATTCCTTTCTATGTATCTAGGGAGGTTAAAAATCTCAAATACAAGGATTAATTATTTCTGGAATCAGAGCCCATGAAAATTATAGGCTTATAGAAACTTAGGTGAATGAAATTCAAAGCTGCCAATATAATTTAACTAAATTCTTCATTTTTGAAAACGTAGTTAAGGCTCTTCAGTGTCTAATAAATAGCTATTTCAAGCAAACACAACTGATATTCTTCAGTTTTCTAAGTTGTTTTCTAGGAACAATAAACTTTTTCAAAGGAATCTACTTGAGAATTTTCCAGAGAATTACAGCTTTGAGAGCTCTTTTGTTACAAGATAGATGATGAACCTTTGTTCATTCATTTAGGCAAAACAAGAAAGTACTCAGTTTTCAGATATAATTGGACTAAAAATCCTAATATGTTAGCTAAAAAAGGTAATAAGTAAGTTGCTGGCAATTATTTTATAGCAAGAAGAAATATGAAAGTATTCCTATTTGAAACAACCTCTTGACTATTCTTTTTCTAACTCTGAATATGGAAATAATTAGGAAAACAAATCATACATTTTCCTACCCCCAATAAACTACAAACTTTTCAACAAACTATACCTACTTGTCTTTTTGGTCCCAGCTCAAATATAAAACCTTCCATGTCCCCATAGAAGATTTAGGGGATCTTTTCCCAATACATCTGTGTGGCTATTCATTACAGCAATTGTATTTGTCTCTTAACCACTAAACCTCTGAAGCTACTTTAGAGAAGACAGTCTTAATGTGTGTATTCCCAATGCCTGTAAATATATGGTGGACATTCAAAGAATACTTAGGAAGTGAAAAAATAGAAATATATTTTTATAAATCTAAAAAATAAAATGTGAAACACATGAACTCAGTTCCTTTAAAATTACTATGTAGGTCATCAATGCTGAAAGACAACTTTTCCTTTTCTTCTTAGTTCTGTTTCAATACTGCAACTGATTTTGAAATTCCAACAACTCAAAACTGGTTGTCTTTTAGACTTGGGCTGTCTGATACAGCAGCTATCAGCCACAAATGACTATTTAGCTTTAAACCAACTAGTTAAATAAAAAATTGAGCATGGTAGCTCTCATCTACAGGTAGACTAGTCCTACTCATGTTAGAACAATAGATAAAGTATCCTTTGGTCAAAAAAATATTGATATGGGGGAGGGACAAAATTTTCCTAAGTAGCCTAGGCTGGCTTCTTGCCTCAACCTCTTGAGTTCTGGAATACAAATGTACACTGCCCAAACCGGCTTGCCAAAAGTAATCTGCATAGTAAATGTGTTGGATAATTAAGTCATATCAATCTACTTTTTGAACTGTTCAGCATTTATTTGCCATCTACTATTCACTTAAAGAATAAAAAGTTCTCAACTAACTTCTTGGAGCTTCCTTGCTTCCTTCCTTTCCTTTATTTTTTTTTTGAGGAGGGGGTCCTGGGATTGTACTTGCTAGGCACGTGCTCTCCTGCTTAAGCTACCTCCTAGCTTCCAACCACCTCCTACTTCCTCCATCACTATCTTGAAGTAGATTTTTCTAGAGTAGTGTTTTTAAAAATTATCCTCAGAGGGGAAACTGAAAGGACTGTTACAGATGCGGCAGAGGAAAGCAAAGCAAAGCTTTTCCTTAGAACAGCTCTTATTATTTGCCTCATGTGACTTACCATTAGGCTTTACTGTTCTACCACTAAAAAAAAAATTTATTTATTTTTGTTGGTTGTGGGGCTTGAACTCTGGGCCTGGGCACTGTCCCTGAGCTCAAGGCTAGTGCTCTACCACTTGAGCCACAGCACCAATTCTGGCTTTCTGGTGGTTTATTGGAGATAAGGGTCTCACAGACTGTCCTGCCTGGGCTGGCTTTGAACCATGATCCTCAGATCTCAGCCTCCTAAGTAGCTAGGATTACAGGTATGATATTTTAAACTCATCACTTTAAATCACAGATGCTACAAAAGCAAAATGTACTGACAGGTTGGAATGATGTCAGGGGTCACTAGCCAGAAATCCTCAGACACAGTAGCTCTGAAAACACCTTCATCTTACAAGTCCAGAAAGGTGTCAGATTAAACTGATTTCTAATTAATGACTATAAACTGCAAAACCATCAGCAGAGCATAATAATGGCCATTCACCAGAGAACCAAGCTGTTATAATTTTCTTTGCCACTTCTCCTGAAACCCTCAGACACATTTGAGAATATTTGTACCATAAAAAACCCTGGACTCCTTTTACTGCCAAATGGAAAAATTTAGTTAATTTATGTAAAGGAGTCTTTCTCATCCATCCAAACTATTTTTAAAGCTCTAATTTCAAAGCTCTAAAGTGAAAATAACATATAAAATTATATAGTATAAAGTTGATAATCCTTGCACTGAATTATAGATGTATTTATTATTACACTTTTACTACTGATAATCCATTGTATTTTTTCTTATCACCAAGCTATTATTAGAAATGATATTCTGTTTCTAAATCTGTTATTATGAGAAACTTTGAAAATGGTTTTAGTACTCATCAAGATTTGTTTGTATTTTTTGTTTTTTTTTGTCTTTTCTTTTTTGGTACTGGGGATCGAACCCAGGATGTTGCACTTGCTAGGCAAGAGTTCTGCCACGGAGCTACAACATCCCAGCCCTTGTATTTTTTATCTTGAGAAATTTCTAGAAGACTTACTAAGACATTGGATCTAAACATGTTGAGACCCTCAAATTGTTTTCAGAAAAAGTTCAATCAAATTGTATGTTACAGGTTCCAAGTTTTAGAGTATTCACTTTGTAGAAAATGGTGACAGCCTGATTAAATCAGATTATACTTTTATATTACTGTAAGAATAAACTTGTATACATTAAAATGGAAATGACTAAAATAAAATGTTATATGGAAATAATATAATAGATATATTTAGTTTTGGCTAAGATTCCATTTATATGTTTTTAGCAAGTTGATTAAAATGAAAAGCTAAGCTGGGTGCCATTGGCTCATGCCTGTAATCCTAGCTACTCAGGAGGCTGAGATCTGTGGTTCGAGGCCAGCCCAGGCAGGAAAGTCCCTGAGACTCTACTAATTAACTATCTCTCAAAAAGCTGAAAGTGGTGCTGTGACTTAAGTGTGAGAGTGCTAGCCTTGAGTGAAAAAGCTCAGGGACAGTGCCCAGGCCTTGAGTTCAAAGCCCCAGGTTTGACCTCCTCACCTTCTCCCAGCCAAACAAAAAGGAAATGCTAAATGTTTTCAATAATTTCACTAGTAAGAATCATGACTTTTTTTGTTAATAAATTAAAAACCAAAGGAGAGGAAAAAGTAATATTTACTCTAAAAAGGTAAAGAGTTATTTTTGAGTACTGTCCATTCCCTTATTATTATTATTGTTTTGGGAGCTTTGATTCCCTTCATTTATTATTAATGCTATATATCTTTCAAACCATAAAAAAGGCTAGGTAACTACCATGTGACAATACCAAATTTCATACTTTGAGATTTGGACCACATTCTTGAAAATTGTGGCATAAAGCAGCTATCTAAAGAATCACCTAACCAGCTGCCAGTTAGCCACTCTGGAGGCTGAGATCTGAGGACTGTGGTTTGAAGCCAGTCCAAGCAGAAAAGTCCATGAGACTCTTATCTCCAATAAACTACCCAGAAAAAGCTGGAAGTGGCTCTGTGTCTCAACTGGTAGAGTGCTAGCCTTGAGTGCAAAGTAGCAGCCCCAGGATAGGGGGAAAAAAATCACTTATTTCTGAGAGTTTCTGTAAACCTGTGGGAAATCAATGTAAGGCTGAAGAATTAATAACACCTACATACTGAATGGGTATTTTGACTAGATCAATAGGGCAATTATAGGACTAGCTAGTCTTCATTGAGCTGTAAAGGAACAAAGGTTGCTGAAAGAGGATGGTAGTAAAGGGAAGTTGCGTAACCCAAAGAACTCAGAGAAATTACAAATAAATGCCAAAATCTGAAGCTAGCAAAAAAGTATGCTTTTGCAACCTAATTTTGACCTTGTGACCATTTTCTTACTTGAATCATTCATCTATTTTATTATGAGTGCTGAGTTCAAGATTGGAGTCAGCAGAGTAATACTGTATTGCATATTAAAGTTTTCACAGCAGATGAGAGATAAATAATTTGGTATTACTCACACTGTTGACTTGGGTCTGAGTCTGTCGTCATCTTAACATAGTTTGAAGGAAAGAGACCAGTCACCCCATTGATTTCTCCTTGCCACCAGTCAGGATCATCTTTGCTCATAACATTAATAAGTTGTCCCTTGGAGAAATTGAGCTCATCCTCATTATTTGCTACATAGTCATACATAGCAATCACCTGACATACTATAAAAAGGACAACAAAACAATACGCAAATTAATTATTCGTAAGGATCAACAGTATCCCGAGGATTTAAACTGCTATTATTAAATATTAAAATTAGGCAAAGTTTTCCTTGAGCTGCTCTCTCACATCCTCCTCCCCCATTCTGTCTTACAAAAATAAGAATTAATGAACTCCAGTTAAAATCCAAGTTAGAGCCAGCGTTGGTGGCTCATGCCTGTAATCCTAGCTACTCAGGCAGCTGAGATCTGAGGATCACAGTTCAAAGCCACACCGGGCAAGAAAGTCTGTGAGACTCTTATCTCCAATAAAGTCCATGAGACTCTTTTCTCCAATAAACCAGCAGAAAATCGGAAGTGGCGCTTGGCTCAAGTGGTAGAGTGCTAGCCTTGAGCTGAAGAGCTCAAGGTCCAGAGTTCAAGCCCCATGACAGACAAAAAAAAGAAAAAAAGAAAAAAGAAAATCCAAGGTAGCCGGGTGCCAATGGCTAACGCATGTAATCCTATCTACAAAGGAGACTGAGATCTAAGGATAGCAGTTCAATGCCAGTCCAGGCAAAAAAGTCTACAAGACTCTCATCTCCAATAAACTACCGAGACGGCTGGGAACGTGGCTCAGTGGTAGAGCACTTGCCTTGCATTCATGAGGCCTTGGGTTCGATTCCTCAGCACCACATAAGCAGGAAAAAAAAAAAGCCGGAAGTGGCACTGTGGCTCAAGTGGTAGAGTGCTAGCCTGGAGCTGAAGAGCTGAGGGACAGTGTCCAGGCCCAGAGTTCAGGCCCCACAACCGGACCCCCCCCAAAAAAAAATACCCAGAAAAAGCCAGCAGTGGCGTGGTGGCTCAAGTGCTAGAGCACTAGTCTTGAGCACAAAGAAGCTCAGGGACAGCACCCAGGCCCTGAATTCAAGCCCCAGGACCAGAAAAAAAAAAAAAAAAAACCAAGTCAGCCAGGCACTAGTGGCTCATGCCTGTAATCCTTTATGCAGGAGACTGAGATCTGAGGACCCCAGGTCAAAGCCAGCCTGGGCAGGACAGTCTGTGAGACTCTTATCTCCAATTAACCATCAAGTGGTGGAGTGCCAGCCTTTAATGAAAAAGCAAAAGGACAGTGCTCAAGCCCTGAGTCCAAGCTCTAGCTACTCATTGGCAAAGTTACCTGTTTTCTTTTGGCAGTACTGCGGACTGAACTCAGGGCTTTGCATTTATTGGGCAGGTGCTCTATCACTTGAGACATGCCTCCAATCCCTTTAGACACTGGTTATTTTTGAGGTGGGGTCTTGCTTTAAAACACAGGCTGGCCTGGGACGCATGCAGTCCTCCCACCACTGAGTTGTTACTGGTTGAGATGGAGTCTCTCAAACTTATTTTTGGTCCAGAATGGTCTCAAACTGGGATCCCTGGATCTCTATATCCTAAGTAGCTAGGATAATAACTCCCACACCTTGCTGGTACGTTATTTTTAAGCAGAAGTAAAGAAAAAATATTTCATGCCTTTCAAGAATAGTTAGATATGAAATACTTCATATCTTTGAGAGTTAGATAATCTAAGAAGTTACTACATTTTAACAAAGTTCTTTAAAAAATGAAATAAAAGTCAACCCATTTTCATACCAGCGTGGAAGGCAGGTGTGGTTCTTTCACTACTTGGACCCAAAAGTTTAACGTGGCTGGCAGGAAACCATCCCTTCTGCCGCTTTTTTCCTCTGGCCTATTAAATGAGCAAAAAGAATATACAATTCAAAAGATGAGATTTGAAAAGAATCATTGAGTTGTAACTTAAAATTATAAAACTCTTGATTATTTAAGAAAAAATTAATCTTGCCTAAACATAGGTCTCACCTCTGTACTTAGCTACTGGGATATAATCTCTAAGTCCTTTCAATACCGATTCATAGTATCTTAGGTTGCATGGGGGCCTGAAACTGAGTACAACGATATGAATAATCAACCATTAATCAACCATGGAATCCCAGTAAAAACTCCACATAACAAAGCTCCAGCAAGCTTTCCTGGTTAGCAATACTCTCTGTGTATTGCCAAAGATTATTGCTAAGAAGAGTTAAGGTTGTCCATGACTTTACTGGGAGAAAACAAACAGAAGTTCCCTTTGTAGAACCCTCTTGTACTCTGTCTCTGTGCCTCTTTCCTTGGCTGTCCTTTGTGGAAGTAAACTGTAGGTGTAACAGCTTTTTGGGAACTCCATGTGTTCTTGTGAATTATCCAATTTGAGACTGATTTCAAGACCATCAAATCTGCAACTGGTTTCAAAAGTGAGGATAACTGTGGGATCTTTAAAATTAGCAATGGCTCTCCAGGTCAACATGAAACTACTGGAAGACACATTGCAATCTGCATCTAAATGTGCTGCTGAAAATGTGATCTGCAGAAGACTTATCCAGAAGTCTTTCAGATTCAGAGTTCCTTCCCTCAGTATTCCACACCAATATTTATACTACAAAAAGATCTTTCTAGAATTCTCCTAAAAAATGGTATAGTCTATCACAAATATCTCTCCAAGTTTTGTTAATAATTAATCAGATTAACAGAAATAGAATGTGAGGAGCCATAATTCCCATATAGTTGGTTCCAAAGTAAATCAGAAGATGGAAATTTAGAGAACATAATGAATTTAAGCTCCATCTGTTCTTTAGGAATCCTGACTCAAATTTCCCAGAAAGAATAAAGCTACATTTGTCTTTTATATATCAATAAAAAGAACTATAATTTTCCTCATCATCTTTAAATCCTAAAATGCTTTTCAGTTTCAACTAGTGAGGGAATTTTACAAGTAAAAGAAGAATGCTTTATTTTCTATCAAAATATATTCAACAACTTTAGGTTAACATTTGAGGTAAAAAACTAGGGCTATTACATTGACATTGTTCATTGAACTGTTTCAAAAACCCAAGACCACTGCAGGACAGTTCAATGAGCAGTATTTTCTCAAGACACAGCCTGGGTAAAGTCTTTCTCCTAGCCAGTATACCATCTCCTAAGGCTATCCCTGGCAAGATGCTGCTGCTTCCCTTTTTGAAGGTGATCTGTGGTTTAGTAAGGGATGCATTATTAAAAAAAAATTAGGCTTTTAGAGAAAAGTGCCTTTTAAGTTATTATTTTCAGTGCCAACTAAGTGTGCTAAATTGTACAGACAAATCATTAAAAGGGAACATAATATATTGACTACCATTAAGTGGTATAGACTATGTATGAAAGTTTTCTATTGATCTTTACTTATTTTTTGTTGGTTGTGGGGCCTGAACTCTGGGCCTGGGTGCTGTCCCTCAGTTCTTCAGCTCAAGGCTAGCACTCTACCACTAGAGCTACAGTGCCACTTCCGGCATTTTCTGCTTATGTGATGCTGAGGAATCGAAACCAGGGCCTCATGCATGTGAAGCAAGCACTCTACCACTGAGCCACCTTCCCAGCTCTTTATTATCATCATCTCCTCTCCCTCCCCCTCCCTCTCCCCCTTGTCCTCCCTGCTGGTACTAGTGTTTTAAGTCAGGATATCATACTTGTATGGCTGATACTAGTGTTTTAAGTCAGGACATCACCCTTGCATGGCTTGCTCAGCTTGCTTGGCTGGTACTAGTATTTTAAGTCAGGACATCATACTTGCATGGCTTGCTCAGCTTGCTTGTTTGGCTAGTACTCTACTACATTTCCCAGGCCTCTGGGTTGGCTTTTTGCTGATTACTTTATTCTATTTTATCTTATTTATTTATAATGATGCTTTATTTGTGCCAGTCCTGAGGCTTGAACTCAGGGCCTGGGCATTGTCCCTGAGCTCTTTTTTTTTGGTCAGTCGTGGGGCTTGAACTCTGGGCTTGGGCACTATCCCTCAGCTCTTCAGCTCAAGGCAAGCGCTCTACTGCCTGAGGTACAGCGCCACTTCCTTGCTGATTACTTTAGAGATATAATCTCATAGTCTTTTGCCCATGTTGGCTTTCAACCACGATCCTCTAAATCTCAGCTTTCTGAGTAGCTAGGATGACAGGACTGAATCATTAGTGCTCCACTTGATGTTTTCATGAACATACATTACTATAAAAACATTACCTGTAACTCTCCTTGCCACCATCCACTTGTATTTTTCTTTAGGATTAATATTAACTGTCCTGGTGCAAGACTAAGTTGTTCAGCACCCGAAGCAACATACGCTGAAGTTACTTGAGCAATCTCTGAAAAGACGAGAAACAGAATAATGAATTCAAGTCTATGCCAAATATTTTGGCAAAAATTTTCAAGGTCACTATTAAACATACCAGGTTTTTTGTTTGATGTTCCAGATTTGCTAGCATTCCCAATGTTCTACAAGAAAAAGATAAATTGTTTTTATCATTTCCAAAATTCCAGATGTAAATGTACAAAGCTTACTAGAAATGAATTAATCCTATTCTCCATGATTCTTTCCTTAAACAAAAGATCTAAAGAATCTCACACTCAGGCGATCTGGTCAACAAGAAGTTGATGCTATTATCTACTCACTCCACAAAAAGAGCTCATTCTCTGAATCTTTCTGGGACAAATTTAACTATTGTTCAGTGGGTTAACATTGATGCCCATTACATACATTATATTCATACATACACTACATATATTACATAGGTCCTAATGTGTGAAGCCATATGAGAGTTTTGCTCCTGTTATCCTTAAGAGATCCTGATTCACTATAGCTACTGCAGAGAGAGGAGGCACTTCTTATTTTATTTCTTCCTTAACTGACTGATCATAATTTAAGAACAAAAAATTCATACCAAGAATAGCCAACTATGGCTTCTGTAATTATTACCAACAGTGATAATATCTGTCATTGCCAGGTGCTTACACTAAATAAAACAAAGCTGGTTTCACTTAAGACTGTTTTTTTTTGTGGGGGTCCGGTCGTGGAGCCTGAACTCTGGGCCCGGACCCTGTCCCTCAGCTCTTCAGCTCAAGGCTAGCGCTCTACCACTTGAGCCACAGTGCCACTTCCGGCTTTTTTCTTTTTGCTTATGTGGTG